ACATCTGATTTGGGGCTAAACTGAAAGACAATATATTCTTAAAATTAAATACTTTTTAACACACCTGCTGTAAACTACAGCTGATTGTCTGCACACAACAAATTATCAATACCATTCATGCACTCATCCCAATCACAGCAGCCAGCCAGCCAATGAGGCCTTGTATGGCAGTTGAACTTCCAGCATACAAATTAGCAGATAGCTAGGCAGATTAGATAGTCAGCAAAATTTCCAACTACTATGAAACTATGACTCACTATAGTCAGTCTGTTCTTTAGCCAATCCAGCAATGCTGCCAATCAATGAATAGCAGTCACATGCTGACATACAAATATTATGCAGCATTAATTTTGGCATGCCAGCACCAGCAACGTTACCCTTAAATACCCCAGCTTCATTGTGCGAGTCGCAGAGTCATGCATGAATCCATCTATGTGGACAATTTAGTAGTAACTTACTTGATTCAAAACATTGTTTCAAGAGCACAAATCAATTGACTAGTGATTGTACACTATTAAATATACTAAAAGGCCTATGTATAACGTCAAACTCAAAACACTCAAGCTTAGTCTGGATTTTACTTCAAAGTAAATGCAGCCGGCAAGTCCAAAGCAAACTGCTTGCACCAGAGGTTGAAAGGATTCTAAAAACAAAATTTTGTCCAGCACTTGCACTGCATACACATCCTCAAACTTGGCCTGTTTCTTGCAGATAAACAAGAAAACTATGCTGAGCAGTTAACCTCAGCAGCTTCAGCAACTCCTCATATTCTTGATTATTGATGCCACGCTGGACCAGAAGCAGCCATTTGCATTTGATGACCCAAGAGCTTATTAGTTGGTACAAAGCTATTGAAGAGTTCATGGCAACCATTTTCCGTTGTTAAAGACATTGGATTTCGATGTCTAATGACCAGGGCAGAACCATGCTATAAAATTCCAAGTCGGAAGTACTTTTCCACATCTTGATACCTGACATGCATAAGGCAATACAAAGCAAATTGCATAATTTAGTTTCTGCCCAATCTGACCTTAGTTTGACCTCTGAAGTGTGGTCTGACGACATGCCCAATGGTGTAGCATGGTAGAGTCTTATGGCACACTGACTGATGGAAGACTTTCAGTGAAACAGGTGATTTTAGCAGCAATGCCTCTCATTGAATCACACACAGGAGAACATTTTGCAAGCAAATTGGACAAATAATGTGAGGAATACAACATTCCCAAAACTCATATCCATGTTCTTCTGCATAAGAGGTGCAAACATGGTTAAAACATTGTGTCTGGCTGAAATCGACAGCATCAGCTGTTTTGCACACATGCTGCTCGTTGTCAGTGATGGCATTCTGTCGCAATGAGCTGTCAAAGGTTGGCAATCTCATGAACCATAATCAGCATGTTCTGGCACTCCATCCTGGCACAATGGCAGCTTGAAGAGAAGCAGGAATTATTTGGCATTGTCCATAAGTAACTCATCCAGGATGTCCAGACACGCTGGAATTCTACATACAACATGTTGGCTTTCATTACATGAACAAAAACAGTCTTGGGGGCTTACGCTACTTTCTATGAACTGCCTAGCATAATGCCCAACAGTGGGTCTTGATTAACAATATTGTGGCCATGTTAGGCCCATTCATGGACATTACCAAGGAAGTAAGTGATAGTCAAACATTAGTATCTGTCATTCTTCCTATGCAGAAAATGCTCTGAATGTTACTGGTTCAAGAGCACGAGTCAAGATATTCAAACAATGAGCCATGATATATTGATTTTAATAAACACGCGCTTTGCTGACATTGCCAGCAACAAGAAGCTTGTCTTTGCCACCATCTTGGATCCACGAGTGAGTCAAACATCGCCTATTCTGCGAAGAATTACTTGTGACCAGATCCAAAGAATGGCTTAGAGCAAAATGCATCATAGTTGCATCAGCTAACAAGAATAAGGAACCCCTGACCAAAAAAGAAGAAACTGAAACTGAAAAAAATGCCACTGGACCATCAACGATGTGTCTCTGGGATTTGTTTTCTTTGGCCTGTGATGAACATGTTTTTATTCATAATGAAACAACCCACATTATAACATGTTATAAAACAATTAATAATGAAATAATCAGTCTCATAATCAGTATCGGTGATGCTTGATTTGTATCTGGCCAGCCTTCTGTTGCAATGAGAAGAAGATATATATGGCTAGTGGAACAATCACAAATTTCAGTTACCCAGCTTGGTCAAATTAGCTAGACATTATTTGTCTACACCAGCTTCAAGTGTTCTGAGCAAGCATTCTGTTTAGTGGCTCAGGTCAAACTTTTTGGACCATCGTGGATCGTTACTTGGCAGAAGGGAGAATTGTTACTGTTGCTTAAATACACCCTACCTCAACTAGGCTTTCAGTATTAGCTGCAGCCAGCATACACTAACGTCTTAGTCTAAAGCATGCATATTATTAATTTTAATTATTATTGGGCTATTGTTATTAACATTATTTAGTCATTTATTGAAATCTAGTAATGGCAACCTGCATATTGAATGTAAGTTAAAAGACTAGCTTAATACATTTTCATTATTTATATCTTGAATTGGCAAACCATAAAATTTATCAGTGTTAGTTTAAAGTTTTTCAAGTTTTATGTTTGTGTGATCATTGTTTTCTATAAATAGCAATGTACTTTTTATCCAATTTCTGTTTGTTTTGTATAGAAGTTCAAATTCACTTACTGTATAAACAACCTTGTTATAACTTGCACTGCAAAATATCTGCTTGCATTATACTAATAGGTTTATATTTCTGAACCTGTCATTGTTATAAAACAGTTAATAATAATAATGAAATAATCGGTCTCATAATCAGTATCAGCAATTTTAATAATCGGCTATATGCTGTATTGGCATAATCGGCAAAAAGTGACATCTGTACAGCTTTAATACTATTATAATCCAATTAATATTATTATCCATATTAGTGTCATATTATATTATCATATCTTAACATCATATCTCCCAATCAGAATCATATTATTATATCAAAATGAGTACTGTATATCATATACCAATCAATATCATAACACATCTCAATCAGTATCACATATTCCAATGATTATTATAGCATATTATTATATTCTTATTAGTAGCATATTACATCACAAACAAGATCATATGGTATTATCATATCCAATTCAATTCAACATTATCATACCACAATCAGTTTATCATATCCCAGTTGATATCACATATCCCAGTTGATATCATATCATATCCCAATCATTAACACATCATATCTCAACTGATAGTCAAAGACCTATACAGTATTTATCTGGTATGGTGTAAACAAAGATATAAAGAGTATTTATTTGACACTGTATATACTTAGTATTTATTTGACACCATAAAAACAAAGACATATATAGCATTTTTTGGCTTTGTATATACAAAGACCTATACAGTAAAAACAAAGACATATAGTATTTATTTGGCACTGTATATACAAAGACCTATACAGTATTTATTTGACACTATATAAAAAGACCTACACAACATTTATTTGGCACTGTATATACAAAAACCAATACAGTATTTATCTGGTTCTTTACATACAAAGACCTATACAGTATTTATTTGGCAATGTGTTAACAAAGACACATAGAATATTTTTTGGCACTGTATATACTTACATAGTATTTATTTTGCACTGTATATACAGTATTCATTTGACACATATAGTATTTATTTGGTACAGTATATACAAGGACCTATACAGTATTTATTTGACATAAAAACTTATCTGTGATGGAAAATAAATACACAGAAGGGCTACATACCAGGTAGTGGTTTTATATCCATACATGTTTTCTGCTACTGCAGTAATTAAGTGCTGTCCTGAAAACATAAAAACATTGATCTGAAGATCACATTTTTTATGCAAAGCTGATGTTCTTCACAAATGACATATCCCAAAATTGCAAACAATTACTGTCTATCTATGACTGCAAATGGATGGCTTACACTGTTTTCTTGTACAAATCCTCATAAAATTAATGAAACCCCATTAAAAAAAAATTCAACAAAAATCACAAAGACATATTGTAATGGGACACTGTCATTGATTATCTAGTTATTAATATTTTACCAACTTCTACTGGCAAGATTTTACAATGAGAGACATGCAGTTTTGGGGTAATCAGTATAACATATCTGTGTTTACATTAATACTATTTTACCAACTTTAAATTAATACATGAATACTATTTTACCAACTTCAATTAACAAGGCTGTACAATGACAGACATATTCAGTTTTGTGGTATTCATTAATAATATGTTTTACAGGCAGTTCTAATGTAAGCAACACAGTGTGGCTATCATAAAATGAAACACTGCATTCTCACTTTACATGTTGTTTGTTTGTGTCTCAGTAATGATGACCTAGATAATTACAATTTTTTTGGTTCAGGGTCTCTGTTCACACACATCTATGCATCCCTGACAAAACAAAGTTAAAAAGGATGCTTTAAGAGTAAAAGTGTTACAATAAATCATGATCTGGTGTAAACAAGTCTTTATAGATATCAGAGTAATTTCCCCTGGATTTCATGGCACTCATCTATGCATTAAATCATGAAAGAAACACTAGACAAGTGCTAACTACTGTATGTCTCAGCCACAAATAAGCAATTTCAATGCCAAATTACTTATGCATGCTCCTTGGCCAGTTCCCAGGAACCTCAGTTCTAGATATAAACCCTGCTGAATGGGTACTAGATTACATTGTGTGAATGTGTGTGAGATTTGGATTTTTAACATGGCTTTAAACAATGTTCACATCACTATGTCTGCAGTGTGGCAGTCTACAGTGATGTCTAGCACCAGGGCATCATGCTGCAGACATGTAGCTTTATGTCCCACCCAGTCACATTATTCTGACACTAGTCCGACCAGTCCTAACACTAACCTCCTAATGCTGAGCACCTAGTGAGACATCTGCTAGTACCATTTTTTATGTCTTTGGTATGACTCAGCCAGGATTCAAACCTGTGACCTCCTGCATTTGAGGCAGATGCTCTAACCAATTATCCTACCAGAGATTACAAAAAAGGAGATTTCAGTGCAAAATATAAATTATTTAAACTTACTTCATTTTTAGTATAGTTATTCAGCAGCATAACACAAAACATGTTGGAATATTATTTCTTTTGCGTGCATTCTCTCCACCTTAAAACTTGAATTCTTGCAAGATTTGCTGGCAGACTGGGGGATCCAATGATCGTATATCCTGGTGGATGTATATTTCCAATGATGGAAGGTGAGAAAAGTAAATCACTATTTTGGAGAAGCTCTGAGGAATACTGTAGTGATAATATCCTCTTATGTTATCCCAGTTTAAAGAAATGTCACCTAAGATCTTTTGGAATACCTGTTCAAAGCATCTTTTAATAAAATTGAAATTGTCTCTCGCTTTATGGAAATTTTTCTGCAACTGATTATACTTCAAATACATACATGTATTATTTATTATCATGACAAATAAATATCATGACAAATAAACAAGTCCACTAGAACATAAAAGTGTCATGAATCATAATTCTCTCAATGAGTCTTTATTTCTGCCACAAATGCAATGTAGTACAAACTTGAAAGTGGGACCTTTAAACATCATGTAAAAACCCTAAAAATGTCAAATTTGGGGGTCATCAGGACTAATTAAAATATCATATGCAAGGAAGCCCCAATGTTATATGTCCAATTATGTGCTTTGAAAAAGGTGGATTGGGTCCTTAGGGGCAACTTATGGTCTTAATGACAAAAAAATTAATTTGAGTATTTAGTTCTAAATCATGATTTTCAAATTTTAGCAATTTACTCTTCAAAATCTTGTTTCCAATGCCCCTAACTTTCTTCCTAAACACACCCTTTCCCAACTAATCTTAAAAATTTTTGTGATTTTACATTCATTTACAATGTTATTAATGTCTCTATCCACCCCCAAAATTTCATAACTTTTAAATTAAGTAGCTAATTTAAAAAAAACATGTTTACTCTGCTATTTCAAATATCACAGAATGTTATAATTGCTAATACAAACAAATGAACACACAAACACAGAGCCATTCTTTTCTTTCATTAAATTCAGTTTTAAAATGAAACCTGCCATAGATTACTGAAGTGTACCATCTTAGCAGCAGTACTTACTATACTCAAGATATTTTGAAAAAGTGGTTTTTGATAAGCAATACAGTGGTCCTCCTCTTATACGGCCACCCATTTTGCATCAGGAAAGTGCCCTTATAAGATGGGTGGCCTTTCTAGAGGGGGACTACATTTCTTGTGAGAAGCATATGTAATGTATGTAGTAATAAAGCTATATACTTCAAAGCAAATAATATCTTCATTTAAAAGTAACATTAATTATTAAAAAATTCTTACTGTTATAATAAGAGACCTATTTAAAATGAATGTACATTAACAATTCTTATTCTTGGTGTAAGCGTGATATGTATGTGTATGTTGTCATGCACATTGCAAAACCATTCAAAAATGTCATTTAAATCTTGGTACAGTCATAATTCTCTTTCCATTTGCTCCATTTTCCCACTGCTGCTGAATAACCTCATTGGTTGTTGTTCTAGGGCATAACACCATTTTTAAGCACATGATAGGCTATACATGGCGCTAGTATTAACGGTGGAGGAAGAAACCGGAAAATCAGTGGAAAGAACCATTGACCCACGAGAAGTTACTGGCAAGCTTTCTCACATATCCACATTCACCAAATCTTAGACTCAAACCCAAGCAGACAGAGGTGAGAAGGCAGTGATCCATAACGGAGACCACTCAGGGCCCCTCAAACCTCATTGCTTACAATGTTGTTTATTTAAATCTTTTCAACATAAAATTGTTTCATTCATGTCTTTTTGTTGCTAAATGTATACAATTATGCAGTTAAATCTTTTTTAGAGTGGATGAAATGCCTTTTTCATAAAGGAAGCAATAAAAGTGTTGTCACATGATTTTTCTGTCTTTGTCTGGTACCCTGTTTTGATCAAGGTTAATTTCTGTGTGTGTGTGTGTGTGCTAATACAAAAAATCTATTATTAATTAGCCTATGCTGACCCCATTATAATCTTGACAATTACATAAAATTATAATCATCAAAGAGAAGAACTCAACAGTTGTGTAAAGCCCAAAACTTTATCATAACATTGTTACCCCATTTCCTGTAAATGTTGGCTTTTATAGACAATGATATAATATTAATCTTAGTGCTACATGTACTCATCAACACTTCTTTCAGTAACAGAAATTTAGAAACTCAACATTAGAAGACATGTATCAATGATAGAGATAATCTGATTACATGTACTTACCTTTCCTCATGATATAAATTAATTATTGGTTCTGGATACATTTGAAATAAAAAGTGGCAGTTTGTGAGGGGAACATTTTTAATTTTTGTACTAATATGCTGGCTGTATTAGAAAGGTGTCCATTCTTGAAAGGGTACTTTTGAATACAAACTCATCGGTGCCAAGGGATTTTGGCCATAAGAAGTGGGTGGCCACGGGGAGGGGGGGCCAATTAAAGAGGGGGACTACTGTATATTAAAGCCACAATATTAAATATGTATAACATTTTATAACCATACCCCCATGACATTACACCAGTAGCAGAAAAAAAGTTTCACACATTTCCAAAATGAAAACAACTGTTATGATACAATAAATAAAAGAAAGCAATTTCCTCAAGGTTGAAAAAAAAATAAGTGACCCAACATTTGGGAACAGTTCAATGTTTCAGCAGCTCTCAGGGTTTAACAAAATTGGATCACCCAGCATTTGGGACTAGTATATGTTTTGGTAGTCCTTGGGGTTCACAAAATTGGGTCATCCAACATTTGGGTCAAGTATGATATTTTGGTAGTTCTCAAGGTTTAACAAAATTGGATCACCCAACATTTGAGACTAGTATGATGTTTTGGTAGTTCTCAGGGTTTCACAAAATTGGGTCATCCAACATTTGTGTCAAGTATGGTAGTCCTCAGTGTTTTCTATAGTTACAGCAAAACCTGTCTTGAGCAACTTCTGCTATCATCTACCACCTATAATTCATGACCACAGATTGATTTATTATATAATTCCACTATCAATGACAGAATGTGACCAATGACCAGGAGTTTCTGGCAAAAATGTATTTCATCAATGTTATAAATGACAGTTTCACAAAAATATGAACACTGCTGACTTTTATGTAATCTGTTGTAACCATGACTGCTTAGAAGTGTATGCAAAGTACCGATTCTTCTAAAACAACACTCAATTGCATGACTGCATCTCAAAAACAGAAATAAATACCACTGACCTTAATTTGATTCTTTGAAGCCACAAATGTTATTAGAGTACATTTATATGTGCTGCAAAAAAACTACTAAGAATAATATTCAAGCCTGGCTACCAGATGCAGGCAGCTGTTGTATGCTATAGACTGTTAACCAGAACAAACTATATGTCAATAAATGCCATTGCAGTTTCAAAGACCTGCAAATCCCCAGATGATTAACCATTGATTATTTGAAAGGAGCTGTCACAGATATACATAGTCTATTCAAGAGTTTGTATTATTTATTTATCTTTTGTGAAACACTGCAAACCTCTAATAATACCCTAATAAGAACTCTACTGAAGGGACTTCATTGCAGTGGTTGAATATGCCATTTGTCTTTGGAATTAATTCATAATGCCCGGGGATGAATAATAATTTTTAGTTATTATCATTTTCCAGATCTGAGGGGCCCCGAGTGGCCGAGTGGTCTAAAGCGATGTCTGTTACGGATCACTGCCATCTCACCTCTGTCTGCGTGGGTTCGAGTCTAGGATTTGGTGAATGTGGATATGTGAGAAAGCTTGCCAGTAGCTTCTCGTGGGTCGGTGGTTCTTTCCGGTGATTTCCCGGTTTCTTCCTCCACCATTAATACTGGCCACCATGAATAGCCTACCGTGTGCTGAAAAATGGCGTTAAGCACAACAACAACAACCAGATCTGATTGTCACTGCAAAAGATCTGTGCAGTTTATTATTTGATGTTACCATTATTAAAGTCATCATCTGTTCCTTGTGCTGATAGGTTTATTTTGTCTTTTGATTCATTGCTACATATGTATTCCATACTTACCTAAAGTCTGATCAAAACTTCTAAGTCATAAACAGGAAGAGCAAGTGTTATCAGAGTTAACTTTTCAGTTCTTATGCTACATGTGTGTGTGTGTGTGTGTGTGTGTGTGTGTGTGTGTAATGTGGATTTTAACATAGCTGTAATAATTTCTCAGTCCTTATGCTATGATGTCTGCAGTGTGGCAGTTTATAGTGATGTCTAGCACTGGGGCATCATGCTGCAGGTATGTAGCATAATGTCACACCCAGAAACATTATCCCGACACCAGGGCAACCAGTTTTAACCAGTGCTCAAAGAAAATTTGTTTTAAGCACAGGCTTAGGGCTGATGACAAATAAACTGGCAAGCCCTGGCTGAAATTCCACAAGCTGAGTCAGTTTATACCTGTCATCTCTCAAGTCAGGAGAAAAACCTCCTCATTTTGAGGGTATTTCCACACAAACCTCTCGATCACATATCTCCTGATTTTTCGCAGAGAACTCTCAATTATTACATTATGTCTGTAAATTTTCAATTCTCAGAAGAATAAAAAACCAATACATCACTTGTGAATACAGTTGTGACAAAATAATCAATATCACATTATAAAACTTTTTTCTTGAGTAAAAACAGAATGTTTATAATAAACATTATTCATGTAAATTTCAGATTTTTAAAACCCCTACAATATTACTAAAGCAATAAAAACAACAACAAAAAATTGTCACCAGTTAGTTTCAATCCCATGAATGATCACTGTGAATGCTGTGTAATTTTCTCTGCGAACAAAATTGCATCTCTATTTCCACCAAAGAAACTCAGCCAGTAAACACCTGGCATGCCTCTACAGTATATGTAAACGTTAATTACCATGATTAAACTTAAAGAAGGAAAATAAGCAAAATATATCATGCATTAATTGTGCCCTCAAGGAACTAAT